AGAAGCGAAGGTTTGTTTAAACAAAACAAAAACACCCTCCCGTTTCTCTCTCTTTCGAGGTGGGCTGTTGACTGTTACTGTAACACTTTTGGTACACGAAACGTTGTTGTTGTTGTTGTTGTTGTTGTTGTTGTTGTTGTTTTTGGAAGGGGGGCGGCTGTCACCCCTTGAAGAAGTTGTTTCAGTCCGGAAAGAGGTGGGGTCCCGTTCAGACCCGTGAACTGCAGAGCCAGGAGACGCGCGTCTGCTTGTCTCGCCTGCTCTCCGTATCCCCAACCCAGGCCGCAGCGTCACCCCACCTCTTGATCGCCGAAGGGCGGCTAAGCTCTGTGAACGGCAAGACTGCCTCTCCAGGGGACTGGTGCTCGGCATGCCGGGTCTTCCTCACCCTCGCCTTCACAAATGGCCGTGACACATCCCGGGCTGCGCTGCACTGATCTGCTCATGGGTGCTGATCGCTGGGCGGGACAGATTTCCCGACCTTTTACCTTGTCTGACTGGCTGAGGAATCACACAAATGCAATACCGCTGTCTGATCACCCATCTCTCTGTCCTGTCGCTTACCTGGCACGCAGGTAAAAGTACAGCCCCCCCATTGCCGCTGCCGTTGTTAATTAAATTAAAGTCAGAAATGGTCTCGCGTCACCGAAGGAGGCTCCTAAAGCGACGCCCCGTGTTCAAAGGCGTGTGCAGTGCATTTGTGCCGTTAAACAACGCCATTCTTGTTTGTGTAGCTGCAGAAGCCGGGACGTGATTAATCACCATAGTTACAGAGTTTGTCTTCAACAGTTGCACGGCCCCGCTGTAGCTGCGTTAGCATCTCTGGGGGCCGGTATTGTTTTCTCCCTCTTCTCTCTCCGTCTCCGTTCCGGGGTCACTGGAAGAGGAAATGTGATTAATGGTCGTTTTATGCGGCTTCCATGGCTGTCAGCGTGTTGGTATTGTTGGCGGGTGAAGTCCGCCCCCAGCCGCATCTCCCCATTTCCCAGTTTGTGCGTGTGTGGGTGCAGATCTAACTTTCGATTGGTCAAGGAGAAAACTCAAATCCCGATGTGTGTGATGTTGCCCGGGCCGCTCATGTTCACAGAACCGGTGCTGAAGCAGGAGTGGTCGGTACCCGTACTGCCAGCCGGTATCTTTAACCCTACAGTACCTGACGGTACCACAGCGCCGTTTCTCTTATCCAGACCATCTTGCGGGCCGGGTTTAAAAGCAGAAGCAGCTGCCTAACGGCCTTTGCATAGAACCGGTAGGGCAAACTCGAGTTCCTCCCGAAATCGCCCTCGGCATGAAAGGGAGCGGTCATCATTTAAATGCGCTGCTGGAGTTCCTGAATGGGTTTTGCATGTGAAAAAATAAAATATTCAAATTCTGCGTGGGAGCAACGAGCACCTTTGATGCAGGAGGCACTTATTCTTAGTGATCTCTCATCTGGCACTAGGTACTGGATACATTTGGGTTAAAGGACTGTTCACCTGATTTGCATAACTTGGATTGTATCATGTTATATTTTGCATGGTCTTAATTTAAACAGCAGGGCACTTAGGCCAGTAATGTAGGCTGTGGGTTGCTCATCTTTTAAATAGTTGTGACTGTAGCACCTCTCGTAGTGAGCAGCAGTCCTGTGGTTGCTGTAGGCCTCTTTGAATCCTTACCCATTGAAAGCTTGAAAACAAAATGCAGTAAATGGTCGATTCTAGGAGGTGGGGGTCAAGGGAATGACATTTTAAAGACCCCCCCCCCTGCCTTCAGCCACTAGGGTTGACTGCCTCTGGTGTTTTACAGTGTGATGTCAGGGAGGCAGCTGGCTCTCTTACCCAGGATGCCTTGCAGAGTGCAGAGCTGAGTTCTGTGTGGCTGCTCTTCAGATCGTCGCTCGGGGTCTCTCCTGAAGGCCAGCGGCGTGCAAGGAGGTGAAGGAGCTTGCTTCCTGTAGCCAGCAGCTGTATCGCCCTCCAACCCACAGCTGGCAGCCCACTGGAGCCCAGCAGGTGTGAGCCTGGCCAGTACCCCTGGGAAAGTCTGTGGGTGTCCCGGGCTGTGACGGGGGATGACATGCTGGGCTGCTGGTTCTACTGAGATTCCTCCCCTCCCCCAGTAGGGTCCGTAGCAGTTCTCTAGCATCGGATTATTTTTTTGTTTGTTCGGAGGGAGATCGTCTCTCTCCTCCCTCATCCTTTCTTGCAGTGTAGCAGAACGTGCATCCTGGTCTCTGCTCCCGCGGGGCATTTGTTGTTGTTTGTAATTGAGTCTGGCAAAGCCGGCCACCAGCAGCAGGAATACAGCGTGCTTGCCCGGCGGGCATCGTGGGGTTCTGTGCTGCTCGGCCTGGGAATCTGACGGGGAGCCCGAGACTGTCTGGATGGTGAAGGCAGCCAGCAGAGTCATCGGTGCAGGAGAGCTACAGCTGGCCGACATCTGGGCCAAACGCATAGTGTGGACGGCAAATAGAAATCTCATCACTCATTACCCCCTGCACAGTGAATCGGAGAGCTCCTTCTGTCAGGCTTCAGTTCAGACTGCCTAGAGTGAGAGCCATAGAATAAAGAGATCTTTCACTCCCACAGCTAACGACCTGCTCAGTTTAGACAGGCGGTTGTACACTTTGTTTTTGCGTCATGCACGTATCTAACGTATCTATCTCACCCAGTTTCTTGTTTTATTTTTCGAAGTTGTAAAGATGAAGCTGCAAACTTCTTCTTTTTTTTTTCACAGCTTATGCACGCGTGTTTCTGATTCAGGAACGGGTTCATTAAAATAGCTGTGTTCTTTGTTCTTTGGATCGTGCTGTCCTGTACCTGAACGGGAGGAGGCCAGTTTCCTACCTGGGACAATAAAGGAGTGGCGTCATCCTACCTAGGCAGTAAATGTTTTCTTCCTGTTTGAATCTGAAGCTGCAAGTGGAGGTGTTTCAATTATTAACAGGGTTCTAAAGAAAGCAGTGTGCGTCTTCAGATGTGTGCAGGAGATAGCCAGTGTACTATGTAGCCTAATCCGGTGTCTCATACTGTGGACACCTGGGGCTGAGTGCATTATTTACTACAGTGATCAGTTTGCATGTTTGTTTTCTTAGAGAACGTCTCAGAAATGCCACCGAGAATTACAAAGGCAACTCATATTTGCGTCACGGAGTAATTAAGGGATGGTAAACATTAACTATTAAAATCGAAGTACTGTTTAAAATCCTTCAGCAGTGATCCTTACATCTGGTCTTGGGGATGGACAAGGGCCTCGGGTTTTTATTCCACCCTTGAGCTCCTGGTGACTAAATTGAGTTCACGAGCGGCTCGATTGATCTCGACTACGGCTGTGTCCCAGATCCCTCCCCGTCGTGGAGCTTGGAGTTCTCTGTGAACCCTGGAAGGCTGAGGTCTTTAGGACGCGGTGTGGGAATCGGCGCTGTGGCGTGTCGGTGACATTCCCCTCGAAGATTGCAGTGGGGGTGTTGTGAAACCATCGCCGAGCCACGTGAGTTGCAATACTGCCTGTGAGGTCACACAGCGCTTTCCAGTAGAGGCTCCCAGTTTATCCACAATCTCCATCTCTCCTCCTGTCGTGCCCCTGTCCAGCAAGTTTTCTAAGTAGCCAATAAATCACTCATTTATAAAGACCTGGATCAATTAACTGTCCCAGGCTTAGCAGTCCCAGACATTTAATTTTGCTGAAGGTGATCAGTTGAACAGGTGACTTGTTTTTAATTTAGGGATCATTTGAAACCAAAAACTGGAGACCATTGAGTTGCCAAGGCCAAATGCTTGATTGATCTCTACTGGGGGTGACCTAGGAAACAAAGTGGATTTGGGGCTCTTGGGGATCAGGACTGGAGCTCCCTGCCTCATCTCCCGCTCCTCTGAATTTTTTAATTTAAAATTAAACCGAAGCGAAATATTTTGAATCCAGGAAAGTAAAGGGTAGAAAAAATGCTGGCATTTTTATTCCAACTTGGCTGTGATGCTCGGGGGGGGGCTCTGGCTTAAACTGCTGGTCATAACGTTCGTCCACCAGCCGGAGGTCATGGGCGGACCTGGCTTCGGTCCGAGCAGGGGATCGGGCTCCCGATTGCCGAGCGCTTTAATCGACTCCGGGCCTCCGCGTGATCTCCATTGATCTTAA